AGAAATCAACGGAGAAATCAAGAACTACCTGAAGATAAATGAAAATAAATACATAATACACCAAAATCTATGGGATGATACAAAAGTGGTACTAAGAATGAAGTTTATAGCACTAAAGGCCTACTTCAAGGAACAAGAAAAATCTCAAATATACAATCTAACCTTACACCAAAAGAAACTTGAAAAAGAACATAAAGTAGAAAGAAGGAAATAGTAAGGATCAGAATGGAAACAAAACAGACACTCAAAAGAAAGTAGAAAAGACCAAACTAAGAGCTGTTTCTTTGAAAAGATAGGCAAAGCTGACAAAGTTGGAGGGAAAAACGAGTAAAGGAGATCAACTGTATGGTGAAAGATGGAAAATATATTTAATTTAAAAAAAAAAAAAACTTTTGGCTATACTGCACAGCCGGTGAGCTCTTAGTTCCCCCACCACGGATTGAACTCAGGCCCCAGGCAGTGGAAGCACCGAGTCCTAACCACTGAACCACCAGGGAATTCCCTAAAGTAAGCTTCTGATGGTAAGCACACAGCTGTAGTCTTTACACTAGTAGAATTAAAATGTACAGATGAAACTTGTGTGTTATAAACCAACATTACCTCAATTAAAGATAAATTTTTTAAAAAGTTAAACATAAGCTTTCCATATGACCCAATAATTCTACTATTTATCCAAGAGAAAGGAAAATATATCTCCACACAAAGTAACATGTTCATAGCAGCTTTATTCATAACAACCTTAGTCAAATAATTAAAAGCTGGAAATAACCCAAAAATCCATTAACAGGTAATTCAGTTCAGTTCAGTTGCTCAGTCATGTCTGACTCTTTGTGATCCCATGGATTGCAGCATGCCAGGCCTCCCTGTCCATCACCAACTCCTGGAGTTTACTCAAACTCAGGTCCATTGAGTCGATGATGCCATCCAACCATCTCACCCTGTCATCCCCTTCTCCTCCCACCTACCATCTTTCCAGCATCAGGGTCTTTTCAAATGAGTCAGTTCTTTGCATCAGGTGGCCAGTAGTTTCAGCTTCAGCATCAGTCCTTCCAATGAACGTTCAGGACTGCTTTCCTTTAGGATGGACTGCTGATCTCCTGACTGTCCAAGGGATTCTCAAGAGTCTTCTCCAACACCACAGTTCAAAAGCATCAATTCTTCGGCGCTCAGCTTTCTTTATAGTCCAACTCTCACATCCATACATGACTACTGGAAAAACCATAGTTTTGACTACACACACCTTTGTTGGCAAAGTAATTTCTCCGCTTTTTAATATGCTATCTAGGTTGGTCATAACTTTTCTTCCAAGGAGCAAGTGTCTTTTAATTTCATGGCTGCAGTCACCATCTGCAGTAATTCTGGAGCCCCAAAAAATAAAGTCTGTCACTGTTTCCATTGTTTCCCCATCTATTTGCCATGAAGTGATGGGACCAGATGCCATGATCTTAGTTTTCTGAACACTGAGTTTTAAGCCAACTTTTTTTACTCTCCTTAGATAAACAAATTGTAGAATATAATGCTACTGAGCAATAAAAAAAAATATGCAACAACATGGGTAAATCTCAAAAACCTTCTGCTGAGCTAAAGAAGCCAGACACCAAAGATGCATACTGTATGATTTCATCATGGGTGGTGGTTGGGATTTACTTGAGTAGAGCACAAGCAACTTATTCAAGTAATGGAAACATTACGTATCTTGGTCGTGGTGGTGCTTACAAAGGTATACAAGTTTACTGAAACTCTAGAATGAGTGCATTTTATTATGCAACTTATACTACAGTAAAGTTGATTTTTTTTTTATTTTTAAAGGAGCTCATTCCTAACTTTCTTGTAAATTATTCTTTGCTAAAACATTTTTTAAGAGATCCTGATAAAGCTGGGCTCTGTACTGTATACCTTGCAAGACTCATAAAGGTTATAGCTAGAAATGGAATTACTAATTTACAAGATACATAAATCTTCAACTTTGTCAGATACTGCCAAACTGCTCTCCCAAGTTGTTTTTGTTTCGACTCTAAATCCCTTTAAAGTAGTTTACACTCTTTGTCTTTACTTCCTCTTATTCACCTAGTCTATTAAAAATATTTTTCTATTCTCTAACAGTCCATTGAAACTACTTTTACCAAGGTTACCAAATACCTCTTAATTTCAAAATTCAACAGCCTCTTTTCAGTTTTAATCATTCTTGACCACTCCAGTCTCCTTTTGCTTTATTTCACAATTACACTATTTCACATAATGTCTTACACTGAGGAACCAAAAGATATTTCATGCTTCTGAAACTTTTCTCAAGTTGTCTCTGGTGGGAGAAAGTAAACTTGGCCAAAATAACCAAGTGAAGTGAAAGTCGCTCAGTTGTGTCCAACTCTTTGCAACCCCACAGATACACAGTCCATGGAATTCTCCAGGCCAAAATACTGGAGTAGGTAGCCTTTCCCTTTTCCAGAGGATCTTCCCAACCCAGGGATCGAACTCAGGTCTCCTGCATTGCAGGCAGATTCTTTACCAGCTGAGCCACAACAAAAGCCCAAGAATACTGGAGTGGGTAGCCTATCCCTTCTCCAGCAGATCTTCCTGATCCAGGAATAGAATCTGGGTCTCCTGCATTGCAGGGGGATTCTTTACCAATTGAGCTATCAGGGAATTCCAATAGCGAAATATATCCCAATATACAAATATCCCAATAGCCAAAAAAATAACCAAAACAAGCCAAATATGTCATTTTTTATCTTAAAAATGTACATGAATTTTGGATTCTACTCCATAATATATTCCTATTCAACTTTAAAGCATTTAAAATAAATTAACATTAAGCTTAATCAATGATACATAATGTATCATATTTATAATATGACTGCACATAATATCAAAATATATCCCCTGGGTTATGTATAATTCTAGTCTGAAAAACAAATGACTTACTCGAAATTGTGAAGCCTAGATTTTAACATATATCTGTCTAATTCCAAAGCCCATGTGCCTCCCCCATACCAAGAGTCTCAGTTGGCACAAGTTTCTTTCCTCTGAGACTTGAGTTTTAACAATCACAAAGGACTTTTGAAAGTGGGAAAAGTAGAACTAAGTCCTCCTTGAAAGAAACTGGGAACCCCCCTCCCCCACAAGGACAGAACATTCAAAGAATGTTCAGCTTGCTTGAGCTATGGAAGAAAGGAAAGGAGGATAAAAAGACAGGAGGGAAGGAAAGAAGAGAAGGAAAAAAAACAAGAGGAGAAGAAAGGATAAATTAAACATACTTCTCTCTGAAAGGAAGAAAATTAATAGATGAGACAGGGAAAATGTAACCATACATCTGAAACATAACGAACAAGTATATATGTAGATAAACGCAGACTCCCTATGCCTTCAAAATAAAGAATATATTTACTCTTCACACATACAAATAATAATTACAAAATCTCATCAGTAAAAGAATAAAAATGAAGTCTCAACAAATATCAAACAATAACATAGTTATATAATAACCACATATACTGTCCAAAATGCAGTTCTAAGAGAAATCATTTTCTAAAAAGATTTTTTTGGGGAGGACTACCCAAAGGTCCAACGCTTAAGACTTCACTTACATGAAATACTAGAACAGATAAATTTATAGACATAAAGCAGATCACTGGTTGCCTACAGTTGAGCGGAATGAGGAAAAACATGAAGGGAATGCTAATGGGTATGAGGTTTATTTTGGGGTGACAAAAATGTTCTAATATCAATTGTGGTAACAGCAGCACATCTCTGTGCTAAAAACCACTGAACTGAACATTTTACCTGGATGAATTGTATAGTGTGTAAAATATACTTCAGTTAAGCTATTACCAAAAAAAACAGCTCAAAATTTAATGACTGGAAGAAGGCACATATGAAGAGATTTCGCCTTAGATATCTGAAGTACAACCACCACAGATCACCTCTACTGCAGAGAATACTGGGAAAAAAAATAAATGATCTCTACAGTGATTTAGTTCTAAGATATAAATTTATATAACATATTCTGTTTTCCTTCTAAGCATCTCATAGGTTTGCTTTCAGCCAAAAATATCTAGGCTGACACAGAGTTATCTATAAGATTTCTCTAGGCTTAAATAATACTTTAAAAATCAACTGTATACCAGTGAACAATATATAATAATTTTAAGAAGAATAATCAGAATTAGTCTCATCATAAAGCTGCAAGTAAAATTCATAATATGTGTCAGACACAGTCATAGAATAACACATGTCATCTCCAATCTTGTCAACAATCGGTACAGTGAAGATGAGGAAATCAGGATTCAGAGATATTAAGTAACTTGCCTATTCAGTGATTAGACAACAAAGCTAGGATTTGAATTTAAGACTGCCTGTCTCTAAAACCTATGATATCGTACTATTTCCTATCTTTAAGAAGGGATAAAACATCCAGTCAGGCAATAGTAATTAAAGAGATTTACCACAAATATGTACTAATATAAAAATATTAAAAGTTTAAAAGAACTTCAGAGAACATCTACGCCAAGTACCTCATTTTACAAATGACACAACACTTCGCAGTCTCTGATTAGCCTTAGCTATTTCCGCTACTCTCTGGCTTCCAATGTATTACAAAGTCAAAGGGTTAGTCAGTCATGTCTGACTCCTTGCGACCCCATGGACTATAGCCTGCCAGGCTCCACTACCCATGGAATTCTTAAGGCAAGAATACTGGAGTGGGTTGCCATTCCCTTCCCCAGGGGGTCTTTCTGACCCAGTGATCAAACCCAGGTCTCCTGCATTGCAGGCAGATGTATTAAACGGCTATCTGCAAATCCTTCATGATAGCCTCAGCATAAATCAAATAAGGAATCATAGAAGAGCTATGTTTCAGTAAGTCATGGACGTGTTGAATAAACTCCCCAAAACTGATATTTTTAGACTATCATACAAAATAATTATTTCTGTTACTTGCCTTATGCAGAATTCTGGTTACACAGAATCTATAATACTGATTTATTGCTACTTTGAACACCTACCTTCGTGGCCACAAGAAACACAGTAAAGAAGAACATAAGATTATGCCTTGATATTGCCAAATGCTTGGTTTGCTGGAATGTGAAGATAACTGATCCCAGCAGGGTTACCTTGGCAGTGCTGAAAATAAAACACATTTTAACTCAATAAGTAATAAACATGATTTATCTCTATATTTCTCAGAGTATTCTCAAAATATTATATGAGTTATTAATAGATGTAACACAAAAATGAATTCTATAAACTTTTGGAAATGCTGAGTTATATAAAGTTAAACACCTTTCTTCTCAGCATATAGTATCAGATTTTAGAAGGTTCATACATACTGTGACTTTCTGATAAAGACAGAGCTTTTCTATACGCAATATTTCTGAATTGACCACATAACACTGTTTCAAAAGGATTTGAAAGTCCCACGTTCTATAGCATGATTTGAGAAAAGCATATTAATCCTGAAAAATCTTACAGTGCTAACCAAGCTCCTTGGGTGGGATGGGGAACAGAAAAGAAAGTCTTGATTTGTAGCAGTTCCTCATTTTCCATGGTGTAAACACCTTGTGGTATTTGCAGGCAATTTGATCCAGGACCCCCCACAAATACCAAAACTCACTGATGCACAAGTCCCTTATATAAACTGATATAGTTGCATATAATCTATGCACATCCTCCCACAAACTGTAAATAATCTCTAGAATATTTGTAATACCAATATAATGTAAATGCCATGTAAACAGTTGTAAATACAATATAAATACTATGTAAACAGCTCTCAGCATATGAAAAATTCAGTTTGCTTTCAGAAACTTTCTGGAATTTTTAAAAAATATTTTTAGTCCACAGTTGGTTAATACACAAAGGCAGAAACCTTGGATACAGAGGGCCAACTGTACTCCCACAGTCCACTTCAGGGTGCTGTACCTAATCACTCTCATAAAACAGCACCAGCACATTACTTACCTAACTCCAGTACAAAACATTAGCATTAGCCAATATCTTAAATTTAAAGTCTATAATAAGATATTAATCTACAAATAAGTACTATTTTCATGTCATATATTTGCCACACACTTAAAAGTGTATCTCAGTAACATCATTTTCTAGCTGTTTATGCTTACAAATAGAAAAAAATAAATAACAAACTCTCAGAAAGCCATAGTGTAAAATATGACAAATGTAAAAGTCCTTATAAATAACTTTGTGAAAAATAAGTTCTTTCTTTAATTATTACAAACTAAGGATTGAGTTGAAAACAGAATTAGGCTGGGTAACAGGATTTGGATTTTGCTTACCAATAACTGGGCAGCATTCCTGTTTTAGGACAGTGGTTCACAAGCTTTTTGACTGTGCGTCTCTAATGGTAAAAGTGTCTAAGACACTCCTTAATATATATCAATTATTTTATAATTATGTACATTATATCACAAATGTACATCATAAATTATATCATAAAATGTACACCAAACTGACTTTTTAAAAGAATGAGATTTATTTAAAAATTGGTTAATTCCACTAAGACACCGTCTTAATGTTGTTTTGCTACTCTGTTTCTAATAGTTCCCTTTCTTTCAATGTATGACAAAAACCACTGCAATGATGTAAAGTAATCAGCCTCCAACTAATAAAAATAAATGAAAAAAATTAAAAATAAAAAAAATAAAAAAATAATAGTTCCCTTTCTGTAACAGAGTGCCTCATCAAGGGCATCTCAGCACACACACACAGTATTTTGGACTGTGTTCTCTTACAGCATAAATTCACAAGCAATGAATCGGAGGAGCAAGGATTGTGTAAACAATAAATTGGAGCAGGTGGTTGAAGCAGTCTTGGGGTTTAGAAGACTGTCGGTGAGATTGATTAGGAAGATCAGAATGCATTCAGAAAATTCTTATGCTTACTAATTTCCTGTGAATCTAGTAAATAGCTATCTGCTTCCAAAATACAACTGTGGAACAGGCTCCAGGATAACAGCTATAGACACTGCCATTCCAAAAGGGAGGAAATGTAAAGAAGAAAGTGATCACAGACCTATGCAATTTCAAAATTCAGCAGATCAAATTCCATTAGATTTCAAGACCCAGGACTAACTCTCCATGGCTTAAGGGGGTCCATCCTCCGAGTTTGCAGCTCTAATCTCTGCACTTATGACTCTGGCTTATTCACCTGTGACTCCAGCCTACAGGTCCAGCCTCGGTTTCTAAGACCACAATTCCCACCTTTTCCCTGAATGGTAGCATATGTCTACAGCTAAGAAGTTTTATCAGCCTATTACTACCCATAGAATTTTGAGAGTCTTAACTTTTTTTATTTCATCTTATCTCTGTCCTTATCAGTCCAACCTGACAGTGATTCTGTTGATATTACATCTTCAAAAATCTTTTGGGCTTCCTATGTGTGACACATGGGCTTCTCAGGTGGTTGAGTTGGTAAAGAATCTGCCTGCCATTGCAGGAGACACAAGAGACACTGGTTCAATCCCTGCGTCAGGAAGATCCCCTGAAGTAGGAAATGGCAACCCACTCCAGTAATCTTGCTGCAGAAATCCCATGGACAGAAGAGCCTGGCAGTTTACAATCCATGGAGTCACAAAGAGTCGGACACGACTCAGAGACTAAACAACACATATATGTATTCATATATTTCATATATTTTTTACCAAATAGTTTTGCATAGTGAAGAAAGCCTTTATGGTCTTAGAGAATATGTATGTTGGAATAAACAGAATGTTGGTAGAAACATGAACATTAGAGGTGCTGGTGAGGTCTCAGAAGGAAATGAGGAACATGATACTGGAAACTGAAAGAAAGGTATTTAGTTATATGTGCTACAGTTTTGTGGAAAGCATAATCTGTAAGCAGTGAACCTGGATATTTAGTTGAGATTTGGAAGCAAACTGCTGATGGTCTGAGTTGGTTTCTTCTTGCTTCTTACAATGATGTGTGAGAGGAAAGCTTTGAATTGAGGAAATAACTGCTAAACAAAGAAACCAAGACTTGATGATTTGGGGAATTATCAGCCTATCCAGACTGTAAAAAATGACAAAATTAGGAGAGTTATTCTCAGGAAAAGCTAGCTGTGGAGAGAAAGTTAAGGGTGTGGCTGGGCAACTTTTGCTAGTGTTAAAGATTAGGTGTGTAATTCATGGATCCATTCAGCTCTCACAGCAGAAGCCAGGAATAAAGATGAGATTAACCAGGAAAGGTCTGTGAAGGATCATCTTGACTAATGGCATGGATCCCCTGTGTCATATTTGTGTGCGTGTGTGCTCAGTTGCTCAGTCATGTCCAACTCTTCGTGATCCCATGGACTGTATACATAAATACACACATGGCCTTCCCTGGTGGCTCAGTGGTAAAAGAATCCACCTGCCAGTGCAGGAGACATGGGTTCGATCCCTGGTTAGGAAGATCCCCTGGAGAAGGGAATGGCAACCTACTCCAGTACTCTTGCCTGGGAAATTCCATGGACAGAGAAGCCTGGCAGGCTACTGTCCATGGGAGTAGCAAAAGAGTCAGACACGACTGAACAGCTAACACTTCCACTTTCTCACACACACACAGAGAACTACTATTTTCCAAGTTTACACACACACACACACATATATATAGATATGTCTCCACACATACACAAAATATCATAATGGACCCCATGATTTCACTTGACAAACTGCTAATCATTCAATCATTCACATAGCATTTACTATCTACTATGTGGTAGGTGCTCCAGTTATAAAAGCAACCAAAAGAGAGAAAATCCCTGTACTTGACCTCTGGTATTCTCTGAAGCATGAGGGGAAGCCAAGGAGAGAGAAAAACAAACATAATGGATAAGTAAATTATAAAATATGATAAATGCTGGGTAGGGGGGAAGAGACAGAAGTGTTTCAATTTTAAGTAAGGTAGTCCTCATTGAGAAGTTAAGCTCTGAAAAACTACTTTGAGCAAAGTAGATAAGGGAGCTAGCCACCGAAGGAACAAGATTCTAGACAGAGAGAGAAGTTAGTTTTAAAACAGACAACACCTGGCTTGTTCAAGGATACAGTGCAGTGAGCAAGAAAGAGAACAGTGAGAGCTGAAGTCAAAGCAAATTGGGTGTGGTGGAGACATGTATCTTGGAGGGTCTCAGAGGCCAGTTGGGCAAGACACTACAAGGTTTTAAACACAGGAGAATCACAACTTGATTTCAGTTTTACAGCCTTGAGAAATGTTTCATGGAAGAAATTTCAGAGCATATACTCAAAATGAGAAAAATATCCCCTTTCACTAATGCCTTATTTATAACTTATTTACTTATTTATCAATCAAAGCTTCCTTTGTTCTATTTCTAAACTACCTCATTCAAGCTTTAAGGGATACATTTTAAGTTAAACATCCTGAAATCTACTGGTTCATTCAAACACATACCTCATCATTCATACTACTTCCCAACCCTCATTTTTAATCCATTCTAATGAGTTTATTTTACATTAAGTCTTCCTCACCTTACTTATTATGGCCACTAAAGCCTAAGTCTTTCCTTACTGAATTATGCAAATGGTAACTATATTTCTCTGTTTCATTTTCAGTTGCATCAGGAATACATTTGTGACTTATTTGATTGGGTCAGTGCCTTTAGAGAAATCTAACAATTAGATTCTCCTAAATGGGCGCAAAGGTAGTTTGAATTGTACAAGCACAGAATGGGTTATTTCCTCTTTTTCTTATTTTTTCTATGTAGTTACTCAACTCTCATTTTTAAAGTAACTAACAGAGCTTTATGATAATGTATTGACTATTCACATAAGTTTGACATTTTACTACCAGAATTATGAGTAATTTGGAATCTGGGCAATGATGTAGCCATTTTTTATTAATGGCTACATTAATGCCAAGAGCCTGCACACTGATTCCAGAGAAGTCTGCTCCTGTTCTCAGTTCATAAATACACTCTCTTCCCACAATTCTACAACAATCTAAGAGCTTTTGTTTGGTTTTATTTTCTAAGAGGAGGAACCCACAGTAAAAGTAATCAATATTTATTTTTAAAGCTACATTTAAGACAGTAACTTTCTAAAAAAAAAAATAGGTTTCCTAGTTTTCGTCCCATTATCATTTTATTTATCTTTCTGTTTGTTTGTTTCATTCACATTTAGAGTCCCAAAAATGCTTTAAAAATAAATTTGGTAAAATCTAAAGATAAAAGACCACGTCTCAGTATAGTCTATACCAACTCACTAGGACATCTTCAGCCATTCCTCCACTTCTGGTTTCCAACATCCTTTTAACAACTGCTCAAAGTTCGTGATAATGCTACCACCTGCACCTAAAAAGACCAAGATAAGATAGGAATGTGTTAGTTGTTCAGTCATGGCAGACTCTTTGCAAGCCCATGGACTATAGCCCACTAGTTTCCTCTGTCAATGGATACTGGAAAGGATACTGGAGTAGGTAGCCATTCCCTTTTCCAGGAGATCTTTCCGACCCAGGAATGCAACCCAGGTCTCCTGCACTACAGACTGGTACTTTACCATCTGAGCCACCAAAACAAGAATACTTAACCAAATATTCTTGAGAAAATATATGAAATATAGCCATAATTCTATCTCCTGACTTAAAATTCCAAGCTATAATTTTTATGAGGAAGAAAAAAGTTGCTTTGTACATTTATGGTACTGAGATAACTGCAATTCTTTCATGGCAGCTGTCTATTGCACTATAATTAAGGTTAAAAGTGGGGTCTCAGACAGAGATGTAATTTGAGGTTTGTTTCTGACCTGAAAAAATAAACTCCTCTGCTTTATCATTTCCTTCTCTGATTTTAGTTTTAGGTGCAGTAACTGTAACAACAGATTGAAAATTTAATTTCAACTTACAAAAGAACAATAAAGGTAGGTAATATAGAGTGAACATGAACCCATAATCAATCACATTTACTATTTCAGATTATTCAAGATGGAAAAAAAAGCCAGAAAAAAACAAAGCAAAGTTTTTTTAACTAGATACACCACATAATTTCTTATGTAAACTTGTTTTATTTATGGTGGCAGCTACACCTTAATTAACTATGAATCTCTCTGGTTACAGCTATTAATCAAACCAATAATAAATATTCTATATTTTAAGATAATCAGGTATAAAATAATGGCTGATGACTAGCACTAGTTAAGAGTGCCAGTTTTGAATTAAATTAACCAGCCAAGAGAAACAATGTTTTCATCTTCCAAAGAAGTCTCTGTTATTAAAGTATGTGGTTCCCATTAATGTAACTAAAGAACATTTGTAGCATACCAATAACAGAATATTTATAAACACATGTTGTTAATATTACCTCGGGCCCATCCAATAGCTATCATGACTATCCAGCCATTTTTGTAATAGCTATTAGCATGTGTGACTCCACCTACTATTTTCCAAGTTCGGGTCACTTCCTTCATTCCCGCAGCCAACAGTTGAACAGGCAGGAATGAGTATCCCTGGGAAACTAGGTCACATGGGCAAAAAAATGCAATATACCTGAAATTAAAATTTAAATATTTTAATATGACTTTAATCAGAACAAAAAAATCTAGCATATCAGCAATAACAATCTGATAAAACATAACAAATGGAATATCCAAATAGACATGGAATTTGACTGCAAGAAGACCACAGACTGAATTAAGTCAGTTTGTTTTTTTTTTTTTTTGGCTGATCCATGAGGCATGTGGCATCTTAGTTCCCCAACCAGGGATCAAATCCATGCTCCCTGAAGGAAAGCACAGAGTGTTAACCACTGGACTGCCAGGGAAGTTCCGAAGTGAATTTTTTAAATCACATGAAGCACATAAAAAAATCTGCCAAAAAGTCATAATGAAAGAGGAATATAAAGTTTGTACTTCTGAGTACTCTATATATGCAGTAAGTTCCTAATCTCTGTCTGTACTACTCTAGAAGCTAAGTGTTGAACGCACCAACAATATAAAGCAAGTGCATAATCACCCTTATGGCAGGAAGCAAAGAACTAAAGAGCTTCTTGATGAAAGTGAGAGAGGAGAGTGAAAAAGTTGGCTTAAAATTCAACATTCAGAAAACTAAGATCATGGCATCTGGTCCCATCACTTCATAGCAAGTAGATGGGGAAACAATGGAAACAGTGAGAGGCTTTATTTTGGGGGGCTCCGAAATCACTGCAGATGGTGACTGCAGACATAAAATTAAAAGATGCTTGCTCCTTGGAAGAAAAATTGTGACCAACCTAGACAGCATATTAAAAAGCAGAGACATTACTTTGCCAACAAAGGTCCGTCTAGTCAAGGCTATGGTTTTTCCAGTGGTCGTGTATGGATGTGAGAGTTGGACTAAAAAGAAAGCTGAGTGCCAAAGAATTGATGCTTTTGAACTGTGGTGTTGGAGAAGACTCTTGAGAGTCCCTTGGACAGCAAGGAGATCCAACCAGTCCATCCTAAAGGAAATCAGTCCTGAATATTCACTGGAAAGACTGATGCTGAAGCTGAGACTTCAATACTCTGGCCACCTGATGCAAAGAACTGACTCATCTGAAAAGATCCTGATGCTGGGAAAGATGGAAGGTGGGAGGAGAAGAGGACAACAAAGGATGAGATCATTGGATGGTATCACCAACTCAACAGACATGAGTTTGAGTAAACTCCAGGAGTTGGTGATGGACAGGTTGGCCTGGTGTGCTGCAGTCCATGGGGTCACAAAGAGTCAGACAGGACTGAGCAACTGAACTTGAACTTGATAATCACTTCTGCTTTGGGGTTTCTCTAGACAGAAAGTGAAAGGCGCTCAGTCATGTCCAACTCTTTGTGACCCCATGGACACTACAGTCCATGGAATTCTTCAGGCCAGAATACTGAAGCAGGCAGCCTTTCCCTTCTCCAGGGAATCTCCCCAACCCAGGGATCGAACCCAGGTCTCCCACAGGGCAGGTGGATTCTTTACCAGCTGAGCCACAAGGGAAGCCCTCTCTAGGTAGAGTGTCTTTGGAATTAGAAAATAGCCTTTGGTAGCTGAGCAAGGAGCAGCATTTCAACCCCACTTACATCTTCACCTGTGCCCCTTTGTGTATAAACTTCAACCTATACAGAGAAAGGTCATAGCTCTCAACAAGACAGATTCATTCATATTAAGGAAAAACACATTTTCAGTTAAAAGAATATGAAGCTTGTTCTTCAACTCAGTTGAGTAAGTTTAAGTTTCAACCAATTAAACTGTGATATTAGTTTAAGAATAATTCACTCCTCAGGTGAATTATTTTCTGCAGCTTCATTTGTTCTAAGCATCTGTCCAACAATTTAACAGCAGTATTGATAGGAAGACATAGCACTCCCCCACCCCCATACTCCTAATACTCTCTGACAGACAATTTTGTGCTTAAAGCAGAATATTTATCTTGAAGCAAAGAGGAATATACTGCTTAAAAGAGGTACTCTATCTTTTCTAAAAGAAGTTGTTAATCTTACTTCATGGTTCATAAATCCAAACTCCCAAAAGTATTCATGGAATATGAAACTTGTTCACCAAAACATTACTTCAGAGACCAAATATAAGATGCAATGATTTGTTCAGCCTGAAACACCCTCTCTTCTTCAACTCCACTTACGAATTCTTCCTTTTCTTCACGATTTCACTCAAATACTACCATATACATTGACTTTGGGAGTTTTATTTAATATTCTCAGTTCAGACTAAATTCTGATGGTTCCTATATTCAACATAGCTCTTCTATACCTTTTCTTTATAATAAATTATAACAGTCCTTAATGGCAGGAATCATTCACTGTGTTACCCCCTCACCTAAAACTCAGCATAATAAAAAGTAGCCCTGAGTTAAATCATTTATTAACAGTTAAATAATTAGCAGGAGTCAAAACACAAAATATATCAAATCAAAGAACCATCTGATAATTAAAGAGCTTTAAAGAAAGAAACAAATTACCTAAGAATAGTTAAAAGCTTTTTGAAAATGACAGGTATGATATAAAAACTTTACATGTTTATATAATATTTTGAAAGCCTCTCTTTAAAGGTAGAACAAAATTTCCAGGAAGTAGGTTAGGTGCCAGGCAAAGAAAAGAGTTACATTTAAGCAATTTTTTAAAGTATATTTTTAAATAAAATGAAAATAATGTATGCTCAAAATACTCAGACAAAAATACAACAAAAGAAAAATAATACAAATGACCCCATTTTCATTCTCTACACAGAAACTATCTTCAACATGAGTTAAAAGCCTAAACTACTACAAGAGCAATCTTGACATTTGTTTTTTTGAATGCATGCAGGGGCATGGAGGATCTTTAGTTCCCTAACTAGGGATCAAACCCGTGCCCACTCCCGTGAAAGCACTGAATCTTAACCACTGGACCACCAAGGAAGTCCCAATCTTGGAGTTTTTATATCCAGTTATGTGACATTTTGGCATATGGTCTAAAAATCTGTAATTACTGCTATTTCTAATAAATAATTCTTTATAGCATTTCAGATATTTCTAAAGTATACCTATAACATACTAATATTTCAAATAAAAATAGTTCTCATGTCAAGTGTTAAATAGCCACAGGGCAAAATAAGAATTGTTTATTGTGCTCCATAGACTTACAAGTAAGCAAATCAGACCAGTGGCTCCCTAAACATCCATTCCTGCTCTATAACACGTTAGCTTTTTAAAATTCCTTTGATGACTCAACTCAACCAACACTCATTAAGGAATCATCATGTTCCTCCTTCTGTAAAGATTATAATTTCAACTTTAATTAAAATTGTAGCATCTAAGAAACTTTTAACTTTAAAGCACTTCAAGAAAACATATCAGAAAAGAAGGACTGCAACATAACATGAAATGGAACAAGAAGGCAATTTATTTCTCATATATTTTTAAGTCACTTAGATTAACAGAGAGAAAAAAAAAGACAAGGAATAGTGCTAAATAACAAAAGTTAGTCTAAAACAGAATACAAACAGGATGCGAGGCCACTGACAAATGAAAGTTGAAACAGTTAAACTAGGAAGATGAAATGAGAATTTAGGTTAATACCAAGAGTTGAGCTTCCCACGATTAATCACTGAGAACTCTGCCTTCAATCCCCCTTAACTCCCCCGCTCTGACTAACAAAAACAGTGTAACTTAACCAAGCCAAAAGAGAGCAATAAACTAAACGCAGTTCATATTAGTCCAGTAAGACAGCTTTTCTCTGGCTCTCATTATTCTAACAAATTAATAACTTTATGTGTATTCTCTGAAAAAGACTATTACAGAATGACACACTTACATAACTATACTTTTTATTGTATTTTTCCTCATAAAAATGCAGTGTTATGTAAATGTGCAATATATAATAACATACTTAGAAGTGAAAGGAAAATAAACTGGGGCATAAAAATCAATACACAGACAAATTATAAAATATTTATTTCCTCCCAGAAACAGTTTTCAAAAGGAAAATTCCTATGAAAGGCTATACTGTCTTCCAAACAACACTAAACATTCCATGACATACCAAGTTACTCTTTCCCTTTGCCAGCAGATGGTGCTGATTTCCAGATGTGAGCACCATGTGCTATTATACTAAAGATGACCTTCCCAGTAAGTGTATTCACATACTCCCTGTTTGGCTTGCTACAGTTAAAAGCATAATACAAGCATTATTTTAATCCCTCAAATTAAAATCAAATGAAGCAAAGATTAGAAACTTGTTCTCAACATTAAAACCTGAAAAAAGAAAACATTAAATACACTGTCTTTAAGCAAGCACCATTTTTTTGTATTTAAGGGTCTGTGGACACAAAGACAATGTATTCCCCAATCCAAAACAAAACACTGTGCAAGTGTAGACTAAACGACTAGGTAGCTTTGAATCCTGGCTCCAGCTACGAGATACCTGTGATTCCTTGGGCAATTTATTTAAGCCTTCTTGTCTCAGATCCCTTATCTACCAAATGAAAATAAAACGGAACTTGCCTCACTGGTTTCCTGTGAGGTTAAATGAGAGGACAAATGTAAAGCACTTAGAAAAGTGTCTGAAACGGTAAGTACTACATCAGTGGCTGTTATTGTTGTTGTTTAGTAGTACCCAACAAAACAACTAGAACCAATTAAAAAGGTCATCAGAATAAGAATAAATATAGATATTCACATAATACATTATACAGCAATGAGAAGGAATATACCACAGCTACAAACAAAACACAGATGAATCTAAGTAACATAATGCTGAGTGAAAAAAGCCCTAGAGAACTATATAAAGTATAATACTCCATTTTAAATCAGGGCAAAAAACAAATAAAACTAAAAAGATACACTTTTCAGATATTCATATGTAAGATACACACCTTTTTCTAAAATGTAAGATAAACACAAACAAGGTAGAAATTATCTGTGTGAAAACTGCAGGGAGATGGGATGAGAGAGAGAAATATGAGTATTTAAGTTATTGGTGCAGTTCAGTTCTTAGATTTAGTGCAGTACAGTGGAGATGTAAATTAGCATAATCATTTGAGAAATGATTTGT